GAAGCCAAAACAGGAGAAATCTGCTCTCTTTCTAGTCCCTGTCAGGCTTTTCACACACATCTTGTCCTCTTTTTCATTCCAGCACGTCTAGAGTGACGTTAGGGCTTTAACTACGCTTTCAAATTCATCTTCCTGTTAAAAGAGGGCTCTTCCTCTCCACTTTTATCACCATAGCAGATCTTCACACTGATGGATTCAGACTGTCTTTATGTTACAATATAACATTTAAGTGAATTTAGCTAGTTTCACTTGGTATGGGATGTTGCTTTGGGCTGTGAAATGTAACTGAAACACTGATGGTTTAAACAAACACACAAGCCCCGAGTGCCAATAAGAAGTTTATTTAATTCAGTCAATATTGTTAAAAAAAAAAAACAAAACCCAAAAACAATGACATAGCTTGGATATTTTCTTGGTACAACGCCAAACTCACGTTGTCGTGAAATGATATCGTAAAACAAAAATCCTTCCTGCGAAACATCTGCAGAGAGAAACGAGTAAGGCAAAGAGGAGATGCTTTCTCTAGTGTTCAAATCCAAGCAGGCAAGAAAAAGGCCCACGTTTCCTTCAAAGGTTCAGATGAAATGCTTTAAATTTACAATCTGAGCAATGAAAACAAATATTTACAATTCCCTTTCCATCAGATTTGTTTTATAACAAATTCACGAAAGGAAAAAAAAAAACATGGCGAATGGGAGAAAACAAAAACAGGTTTTGCTTTATCCACACTAAAGCACTTTTTGGAGCTACTACATTCGCTACCTCGGAGATCGACCTACATACGGACTGATGACAGAAATCTGCACAGCTGTTCCTTCATTGCTACTCTCCTCTATTCTTCTTTTTTAGTCATAAATATCTTTAGAGTTGCTTTTCGTGGTGCTCAACCCAACATTAGTGTCCTTCAACCTGTGTGTTATGAAGCAGGAGACGGTGAGCGTGTGTGGTTTCTTCATTTGTCATCCACAGTGAGACCAGAATAATGTGCCCGCCCCCCATTTTTGGTTCATAACATATAATCCAAACTATGGCTACAGTAAGCACGATGTGTTCGATATGAGAAGAAACTCTACTGATTAAAACAGCCGCTTTCAAAGGCAATAATAAGCTACATACAGGTGAATATTTCTTAGACCTCAAGCTGCATTTTTCCTGCTTTTACTTCTGCGAGCAGTACGGGAAATTTCCTACAGTTCTACCGAGCTACGAGACTTGTGCCCACTTAGGGCAGTGAGGAAATCAGAGCATGTTTGCCAGGTAGATTTACCTGCAGTTACAAATATTCTCATTTATTTTAAACAGCTCAACATTAAAATAAAGCATCTCTCAGTTGATATGTCGACCACTTAGGTTTGGATTAGCTTCTATTTTAACCTGTCAAATACTTGAGCCAAAAAACACTGAAGCGTCAACACTGTTTACATAAACAAAGATGAGGGGAAAAAAAAAAGAAGCTTCTTAGTCTTCAGAAATCCAAGAAACAGTGAAATTTAAACAGACGACAGTGAAATACCAGCGTGTGGCCTTTCCCCCTGCATACGGAGGAAAGGTCAGCTTGAAGGTCACTTATCAGGCATCGACAAGCACTGACGTGCACGCCTGGCTGCTTCTCCGTTGCCTCACAACATTCATTGGCAAATGAAAAACAAAAAGCGATTAAAGGGGACAAACATGAGCGAGGGTGATTCAACTAAACGGACCTTCATAATGACCGGAAG